CATGACTGAGGGCGTGGCATGTGCGACTAAATAGGCCAGTAAGGAGGCACGTCAGTAAACACGTCAGTGTGCGATTGCGTCACGCGCGAAACGCAGGTAACGTTTGCGCAACCCCCGCACGCGCGCCGAAGGTGGATGAGGTGTGTGTGTGTGCAAATGGAAGTGGGCGATTTGAAAAAAACGACGCTAGACTGGCTTTAGCCGTGTAGACAGAGTAAGTCTGTTTAGGTGAGACTCCTTAGTTTTTGTCGTCTGAGCACCACAAAGGGAGCCACAAGTCAAAGTGGTTAGTGAAGGAGGGGGGAGGCAATGACTAGAAGGGAGCAGTTGGGTTACTAGTAAAGACGGGCAGTGTGTGAAACATGTTTATTCGATTTCGCTCCAATAGACTAGCCATCTGTGGTAGTAATTTTTTTCTATCCAGCGCTGGCAGACGCTTTTTGGGGGGTCGTAACGCGTGACCTGACAGTCCAGGGAGGCTTTAAGACTAGCAGTAAAGTGGACTTCGAGCGTGAATGCCAGAAACAACGAGACAAGACAGGGAGCAATAAGTCGTTCGCCCCAGTTCCGACATAGACGTTAACTCCTGCCAGTCACTCAAAAGCATTTGCGGAAACTGGACATTGGTAGGAAGTTTAAAAGCAGTGCAAATACGTTCTTTTGTGTGCGGGAGCGTCAAGGCGTAAGCAGGCTCACTGGACATTTCAAAAAACAGTGCGCATATGCAGTCCCAGGAGTTGTTAGAAAACCGCCTACCTTAATCGTACGGTCACCGCTGGCAGAGACTATGAACTTCTCATCAAAGTCAACCACGTTGACAGCTGCCCTGTGTCCCGCAAGCACCTGGCGCAGTTGGATGTCCTGCGGATAAGGTCCCATGTCCCACACAGCGATACTGCGATCCTAAACGCAACAAATAAGAAGGCAGAATTTAAGGGCAAGCCAAAGTTGGGTGTTTTTGGAAGCTAGAGAGGCGTGGAGGGACAAATGCACAAAGCACCAAGTCTCC